TCTCTACGTAGCAGCCACTGAGAGTAGCCCTTACCGAGCAACAATCTAAAGCATTATCTGTCAGATGAGAAGCTTCACGAAGAAAAAGCTAGGAGTACTGATCTAGAGAGGTTTCCCCACATGGTAAACAAAATATAAAATGCAACTATTTCCGCTCCCTCAACTAGCAAAGGGGTGATCACTAAACACCCTCCTGGTCTACTCAAACTTACATAAGTGCAGTGAACAAACTGAAAAAGCTGGATCTTTTTTTTTGTGAAAAAAGTTCTATGTAAATATGGATTTCATAATTCTCTTCCATACGATGAAGGGCAACCAATGCTGGTAACCGCACAGAACTTCACAAGCAATTTATAAAAAAAGTCAGCTCTGTGTTTAAACCGAGGATAACTTACTCTGAATTTAACATTCCAGAACTTGATAAAAAGCTGTCAGGGGAAATCTGAGGTAGAATACTCTCTTCAATATTCTTCTTTCTTTTCAAATGATTAATTTTCACGTAACCTGAACAGATTAGCTGCACTGGACACTTCCAGCGAGCACCCTCATATGCAGATTAGTTACTGCTTGTGATAGTGCTGCTGAGGTCGGACCCAGACAGAGGTGTCTGGGAAGGGAGAGGGTCCAGGTACTCTCAGTTTCTGAGAGAAGGTTGCTAACATGGCCAGTAGACGGAAAGAGTCAGAGATAAAGACAGAGACAGAGCCAGCAGCCGGCAAAATACTTTATTAAATTGCCAAGACCTCAAGCCACCTTGTTTAGCTCCCTCAGCAACTGTTGAATCAGGCTTCTAATCTCAAGGTTAAAAAGCTTGGCTATTCATTTTGCAATCCCCTCATGTCATCTAGTCTTAAGAGAGAGGTGCTGGTGTTGATCTGATCTGTTATTCTCCAGATATTTGTTCAAAGAAATTCTTTAAGAGCATGCCACAGGTGTAATGAGAAAAATATCCTGAAAAGTGGAAAGAAGAGTCTATATTTCAATGTCAAAAGCATGAAAGGAGTGAACTAAAAGAAAATCAGGGACAGGCAGCACTTGAGGAAGCTGCAGACAAAGAGAAAATGGTGGAGGTTCGGGGTGGGGAGAGATTTCCTTTTCCCTCTCCAACCGACCTCACAAAACTTGATTTTTCTGTTTGCTTTTTATTTTTCAGAATCATGATTTCAGGTCTGGCTATAAAATAAGGCCCTTGCTTTGCCGCACCCAGCCCACACTCTGCTCCCTGCTTGTGCGGGTTTTTAAATGAAACTGGTGTTCTTGATATCACCATTAAAAAAGTAATAAAATTGTCCATGTCCCTAACTCAAACTCACATAATCCCACCAAGAACAGCCACAGTACATGTATGAATCAAGAGACCAAGGAATTATTTGTTTTAAATGCTATATGTGTACACCAGATGAGAAAATTATTATAGAGAGGAAAAACACTTAACAAAGAAAATTAAATGTGCCAGCAAATCCAACACATTATTTCAGAGTTAACAGCTCAAAGAATGAAAGTCTGATGATGTAATATTAACAGTGGCAAGAAAGCACCCCAAAGTGATTCTGCACTGGAAGGTTGCAAACTTCTACAAAAATCTCTCTCACCGATGTTAATCTTTGGCTGGGCTGAGCTGTAGACAAGCCAGAGGGCTACATCCTGCGGATATTTCCAAATGGGGTGCCATTCAGTGTGGCTATTTTGTCCTCAGGTTCTGATTATTGGGATCCAGACAGACCTCACCAGCTATTTGCTGACCACAGAGATAGGATGCTTCGTCCCAGTATACCAACCCTCAAAGCCTATGGACAGAATCAGTCTGTCTTGGTCCTAAAGCAAAATTCTGCTTTACAAGACAAACTGCTTCTTATAAGATAGTCATAAAAGTTGTTTGATAACTGAGGAGCAGAGAGGAGATGGAAAGAGGAATTAATAAAATTACTGCCTTTGAAAAAACTAATAGAGAAAGACAGGACTTGCCAATTTCAAAGCACTACTAAAATACTACCTATTATGGAGACCAGAACAAACTACCATGAGAAAAATTAAAATGTTGTTTTTGCATCTGGGTAATTTCTCTAAACCCCAACTCTAATTCCTGTATGCCCCTCCCCCAAGGACCCAGTCCCCAAGTATAAATGTTTGCCATATTATTGTGCTGCCTGCTGGAAAATAAGGGGCCCTACTTCTGTCAAGTGGTCCAGTGGTCAATTAACAAAGCTTTCTTGTTTGATCTTGGAGAGAAGACAGCTTCATAAAATATCATCGAGGTTGCACACAAGCCCCAAAATCACTTTCTATTTTTCCTTCTGTTCAAACCACATACCAAATTAAGAAAAATAAAAAAAAAACTGACCACCTTTGGCCTCTCTCCTTTTCTCAGAAGAAACACTGTAAATGTATAAGAATGTAGAGTTAATACAGACATTACTGATGTTAACGAAATTCCCTCCACACAACTAACTAATGTGCATAAACTCAAACACAACAGGAAAAGGGAGGACCCCAACAGGTTATAGGAAGCGTCTAGAATTTTGAGATTTTTAACTCAAAGTTGGCACATAATGCATGCAATACAGAGAGGGTAGAAGCTCTGGGTTTGAAAACCCCTTGCCTTTCACCAAATTGTGCCCCTACAGAGTAAGGGAAAAAAAGAGAAAGTAAGAAAATATATCAACTTTTAGATTGGGATTGGTTGCAGTCTAATGAAATTGATTCATTTTCAATAAACTGACTCAGGGATTTTATATATCCTAGAAAGGGAAAGTCTTTGTCAACCCAAGAGACAGGAACACTTGTTTTCCCTTTCACTAGACTCCTCATAACCAGTGCAGCAATCATAAACCAGGGAAGATTAAATAGTCTTGGACTTTCTCAGGGTACTGCTAATTCTCACTAGTTGATATTAATTTAAGCCCAGTGTCAAGGAGGCATCAAAGTATGGTAGTCTGCCTACTAGAGAAGTTGTTGTTTTTTTTTTTTTTTTCCATTAAGACCCGGGATAAAATCACCAAGCTCGCTGCCTACCTGATGGGAAGAACCTTTTGCTCTCTATAGCCACTCCCTGAGAATTTTAGTTTTGTCTTCAAAGACATATCCCTTAATAAATATGCAGAACCATTAGCTTATTCCTTGTTAGGTAAGTTGGGGGTGGGGGGAGGCATGCCAAAGATGGAAAGTTCCAGTGACTGGGACTGGGTTTGCCACCATGGTAGGTCAAAAAGTGCCTTAGACATCCCCTTAACCAGAAAAGTTTACAGAAGAAGAAGGGCTTCACTATCTAGTGACAGCCCTAGAAAAAAGTTAACCCTACCAAGTAAATCTGTTCTCATAAAATGAAGACATTTTATCCTATGGTATAAGCCCAGTACAAAAATAAACACTCTAAATTAAGTGGAAAACACTTTGATGATATCAAATGAACCCTTTGAAAATCCTGTAAGCTAAACATTAAAAACCTAATACGATGTAAAGCCTAGTAAGAAGCTGTTTCTTCAACAGCCCAGAAAAATGATATTTTATGAAATCCTATCTTCCTCTTTCTTTCTTTACTAATATTATGCTATCGACTTTCCAAGAATGAAAGCATCAGCGAAAGAAGGCAAACTGTTGGGTTTAAGTCACCGAACAAAGATGTTAAGGCTAACAAAGAAATTTTGGAAATGTCACAGATAAAAGAAAATAGCTACAGAAACACAGAAAACACAAGTACACAGGGACACCAGGCCCCGACTGACCTGAGGAATTAATTCCCCAAATCAAGTCATCCCCCTTCACCAGATAAACCAATATCTGAATTTTCTGGGGGAAAAAATCTTCAACATGGTCTCCAAGACGCTGAACAACCGTAGTGAGGAAGAATTTTTAATAAGCAAGATAAAATTGTCTACCATTTTTCTCATGTCTTAATTAAAATTCTGGGGTAAGATTATGGCTCATAGGTCACTAACAGTTCTTACTCAATTTGTTAGAGCTAACAGCGCATGTTTTAAAATGCAAACATGTCCTTAAAATGAGGAAATATAATGAAGAACCCCACTCATCCCTCCCCAGGGCAGATTTCAGAGCACACTGGAATAGAAGGAAACACTTTACAAAAAAAATTTTTTCCCAACTCTTTAGTTAAGTTAGACTGAAGCCTGATTAAATTGTTCATTAAAAGAACATTCTTCCCTTTATAGATCTGATGTAAACCTGAAACAGGGGGCTGTGGATCTGTTATAACCCACAGAGAAAATAAACACTTTACAAGGGAAAACGGACCCAAACAACTACTTTTAACGTAGTCAACCAACGCTGAGAAACCTGTGAGGGCAAATCCTGCCCAGTCTTTACCAAAAAAGTTGACCCTCTGCGTACTCTAAAGGTCCCTGGTTGGGTTCTCTCTGCCAACCTCCAACTCTGGAGCAAGTCCCCAGTTGCTTTCAGGGAAGGAAATTCACCCCTTCACACAGGGGCCCTCAGGACCCAGAGACCACTTTCTTTCCCTAAACCGGAATTTCATTCTATTCGTTTGGAGGAGGGGGTTGAGAAAGGCTTGGGCCAGTCTTTTTACCTTTAATCTGCCGAAACCCGACACAGGCTGGCAGGCAAATTCTAACAGATTGGAAGTGGAGAAACTGACCAAATTTCTGATCCAGGTTCTCCGACGTTGAGGAGGGGAGGAAAAAGGCTTAAGGGCTTTATTTTTCAAGGTGGCCCATGCAATCGGATTTAAGTTTGGAACCTGTGGGACCTGGAGTCCCAGGAGGTAGTGAGGATTTGGAGCGGCTGGGGAAGTTGCTGAGGAATCTGTAGGGGCACACATCAGCACCCAGGGCGTGCAGCAGAGATTCCCGGCGCTCAAGTTGAATCTTTGGTAAGCCAGGAGTCCCTGGGAGAGCTTCAGATTTAGAGTAGTAGCCCCTCCAATGGAACCCTGCTGAGCTATCCCCAGGGTCTCTGAGGGTTCGCTCCGGGAAGAGTGACTGTACGCCCTGGGCCAAAAGGTGACATTTCTGGGAGGAAAAACTTACCGCATGTCCCCGTAAGGTCCAGAGTAGCTCTCCATCCAAGGGCCCATCTCACTTTTGACACAGCTGGGGCTGGGATAGGGCACTCTGCTCACCACGCCGCCCGGGTACCACACATCGGGTGCAGGGAAGTCGCCTTCCTGGCCCGCCAGCCCCTGAGGTGGCCGAGAGTAGCCATAGGGGGTTATGGCCCCAGCCTCGTCTGCGCCGCCGCCGGCCCCACCACACGGCCCATACAACTGGCCTTCGTCGGCTGTGAAGAGAGTGTGCCAGGAAGACGCGGCCGCGGCCGAGGGCGAGCCGGAGCCGGGTCCCGTTGCACCGCCGCCGTGCAGGCTCGCCAGGTCTCCAAAGCGGCACTGCGCTGCCGCGGCCGCCCAGGAGCTGCTGTAGTCCAGAGGGTTCTCCAGCTTGATACGAGCGTGGGGATGGGGAGGAAGCGGAGGGGGCGGCGGCCCGGCCAGGGCCAGAGGAAAGTTGTAGTAGTCACGACTCTGGTACGATGCGGCCTCCTCCAGTGCTCCGGACTTGTAGAGAGATAGAGTGGAGGGCAGCTCAAGTGTCCCGGAGCTCCCTGCTTCGCTGCTGCCAGAGCAGCCCAGGGTCTCGCCTTCTAGACCTTTGGTGTAACTTCCCTTGAAAGGGGTATACTCAGCAGGCTCTTCAGTGCCCTTGTCTGCACTGTCATCCAGCAAGGAACCTTTGCATTCGCCCAGTGGGGCACAGGGAATAGGACGCACAGCGGGTGGACCTCCCAAGAGCGGGGCGTACATGCAATCCCCCCGAAGCTGTTCTCCAGGACTCAGATGCTCCAACGCCTCCACACCCAAGCCCATGGACACCGACACTGCCTTACACAACTCCTTGGCGCTGTCAGATATGGTCGAAGTGCCCCCTAGGTAACTGTCCTTGGAGGAAGTGGGAGCCCCAGCGGTCTCCCTGGCTCTCCCGCTGCTGCGGCCTTCGCATACTGCCTCCTGCTGCTGTCGCTGAAGTAGTTGCATGGTGCCGGCCTCGCTCAGGATGTCTTTAAGGTCGGCTGAGCAGCTGCTTAAGCCCGGGAAAGTGGGGCCCAGCAGGGACAACGTGGATGGGGCAGCTGAGTCATCCTCGTCCGGAGGTGCTGGCGGCTGCTGCGGCAGCCCCTTGCTGGCCGCCGCCGCGGCTCCAGGCTCTGGGACGCAGCCGCTCTCAGGGTGGCACTCCGGGGCTGTCTGCTGTTGTGAAGGCTGCTGTTCCTCGTCCAGGGCCAGGTAGCCTGTGGGGCCTCTGCTCTGGGCTTGGGGAGAGCCATCCTCACCCTGCTGTTGCTGCTGCCGCTGCTGCTGCGGGGGGCTGGTTTCCTGCTGCTGCTGCAAACGAGCGCCAGGAGGTGCCGCGCTCGCGGCCTCAGGGTGCCTGGGGCCCGGGTTCTGGATCACTTCGCGCACGCTTTGGAACAGATTCTGGAAAGCTCCTCGATAGGTCTTGGACGGCGGCCGGGGGTAGACCCTCCCCAGCCCTAACTGCACCTCCATCCTTGAGCCTGGCTGAATCTTCCACCTAATTCCGTACCCTGCCTCCCCTTCTCTTGTTCAGAAGAGTTCAACAGGCAGTGATGATGCGGTAGTCGGTGCAGCTAGCTGCCCACCTGCGGGAAGCTCCAGGGAAGGAAACTTGCAGGAACAACCACGCAAAAAGCGCTCTGATAGCCTCAAAGTCTCGTGCAGAGCAAGACACACGGTGGACAGGATCTGCCCTGCTAGGCTCACAGTCTGTTCCTGAATACTTGAAGGGTAGATTCAAAAGATGCTCAAATCTTGAAAGAAAAATCAAAATCCTCTGCCCCCCAAATTCGGTGTCTACTGAAACAGGTGCAAATAAGAACTGAGTTGTTTTTTTGTGGTTTGTTTTGGTTTTGGCTACTGAAGCCCTGACTGCCGTTTCATCTTTTGATCTCTGGCTCCACACTAGGGGTTGGGGGTAGGCAGAAGGAGGCGGAGAGGGAGCAGGGGGAACCACGGGGCCGTCCCCACGTGCAGCCTAACCAGCCAGGTCGTGGCTGCAGTGCTGAAGCCGCTCCCCAGTTGCTCGGCTCCCAGGAACCTTCTTTGCAACGTGCAGCTAGCTCGCAGCCAAAAGGAGTTACCTCTCTAAAAACTCCGGCTGGCAGCGCTGGGCCGACGTGGGGTGCGGGGAGAGTGTTGTGGGGGTGCTGGCGGAGAGTAGCGGGCAGAGGCAGCTGCCGGAGAGGAGACCCAGAGGCGGGGGGGAGGGGCGGGGGGGCCCAGGGTGGTGGGGAGGAGGACAAAGGCAGCCGTCAGTCCTACCCGGCACTTTCCTCGCTTCCTCTGAGTCTCTAGCAGCTTTTAAAAACTTCACCGAAGAGGGAAGGGCAGCTCCGGGGCGGTGGCTTCGAAGCGGCCGCGCTGCAAGAGGCGTTGGCTGTCGCCAGAGCCCGGCTGGGGCTGGCTTGGTGCGTCCCTTCTGCTCCTGCACGGCACTGGAGCCGCTAGCTCGGTCGTTTTCCCTCCGTCGCCTCCTCAGCCTCCAGGCTTGCTCCGGACCCTCCCGCTCTCCCGGCAAGCTGGCTTCCCGGGATCTCCAAGGGGGCGCCGGGAGGTGGAGAGCAAATGCAACAGTTTGCGAGTCGGGTCCCGCCCCCGCCGGGCCGGCCTCCTTGCCTTCCCACCTCCTTTCTCCCTCCCCTCCCTTTCCTTTTCTCTCCTCCCCTCACCGCTGCGCTAACGCCTAGTGGCTTTGGAGAAACAAGTGCTGGCGCAGCGTGGGTGCCGGCAAGAGAAGGCTCCCTCTAGCCCTGGAGGACCCCTGCTCCCTGAATATCTATCTCCTGTTGCTTTCCTAAACCACTGTTTAGGCCCCACAGCTGAAGCTTAACCTGGAGCTTTATTTTGAGGCTAGGGCTACCGGATCTCCCGGAGGACGGCACTCACCAAATTTGGTTCCGAAGCCCAATCTAAAAAACAGATGGTGTGTTGTTGGGGGGCGGGGGAAGGAGGAGAGGGGGTGTTAGGAGTACTTGCTCCTAAAGGCTGCCAGGGGTTCTTTTCAGGACCGATAAGGACATGCAGACGGGAGAGTTTCCTACAAACTGAAGAGCAAGCCATGGCCAAGCTTGCTGAAACCTTTGAAATTCTTCCATAGGGTTAGGTAGGGCCTGGTGGCACAGTGCCATTTGCTCTGGGAACCCTTGGCCCCAGGAACCAGAGATCATTTCTACACTCTTCTCAGCCTTTCTTCCTGTCTGGAATTGCCTCTAACCACACATTTCTCACCTATCAGATGTGCAAAACAAAAATCACCCACACAAGCAGGCAAACACACAAACACCAGAAATGCTTGCCATGCACACATAGGCCATAGATTTTGTTCAGAGTTTTGCAAACATTCGCTTTGTATACAGGCCCTTGGTTTTCCAAGTTGCCTTTGCATATTTTAAACTTTCCAACTGGAACTATCCAAGGATAGAACCTATATAGGGCTTTTTTTCTGCTCTTGATGGACAGTCAAGAGTGGAGGGTGATGTGGGTTACTACAACTGCTCCTTTGTGGAGGGTGTCCCATAGCCACTGTGTAAAGAGCAGAGACAGGTGGGAATGGAAAGGTAGAGGAAATGGAAACAGAGGGCCCTGGGCCTAGCTTTTAAGTTCCTTAGATGTTTGGATCTGGGCAGGGTCTCTGTCCCAGAAAGTATATGGAGATCTTAGTCCAGGCCTCTTCTACTTTTTATAGTTTTCTACAGAGAAAAGAGGGATTGTCGTTTTATCTTGTGCACAACCAAACATCAGGGGAATTTACTTACCTAGGCCAAAGGAAGTAACTCAAATCTAAAGGCAGGGAAGAGTGGGCATGATCAGCTCTATTTTACAGATGAACAAGCTGAAGAATGGACATAATTTGTTCTACGTTCCACATTAGTGGAACCTAAATTAGTCTTCCATCCCACTGCTATTTTAGCTAGACTCATCAATCTCGTGGGAACTTGGGAAATGACTATAAATGAACCTTCCAGAACATAAAGGCCTGAGGACCCTTTCACCTGAGGAGGTGAAAAATTATCCCCTGAGATTTTTAATGGCTGCATCCCTACTTGGACATAACCCAACCAAACCCCCTTTGTTGGCGAGGAATCTCACAAAACACTCCTTATAGTCAAGAAGCACTCTTATTCATAGAGATGTCAAACTGTAGCACGGCTAATTCTCAATAGCCTAAGGTAATGGGAAACAGGAATATGTAATCAAAATACTTAAATACTTTGAAAACCTTATGTGAATGTCATTACAACCTCCAATACCACCAAAGCTTTAACTAGCATTGCTCAAAAGGAATGGAGTTCAATGGCAGGATGGTAGAATAGAATGAACATAGGTCTCAGTGCCAGAATTATGTGTCTACAGTCTGACAATGAAGGGGGTACAAGTAACAGTGAATGAACAATGGGTAGGAGTGAGGAAGGGAATTAGAAGCAAAGAGGCCTGAAAGAAATTAAGGTGAGAAATAATGCTCTGAAGTTACCCTTTAAATAGATGACAGCCTGACAACCTAACAAATCCAGGTCAGAAGGATTCCAAAGCTCATGTTGCTTCCACAGCACCAGAATTGTCTTCACAGTTTCCTCATCAGAATACTGTGGCCAATAATACCCTCAGAAGGGTGATATAGCAATTAAAATGAATCATGTATATAGAACAAATCTGTAAACAGGAAAGCATTCTACAAATCTGAAGAATCACTTTGTTATTTTTTATTTTTAAAGATAATTCTGTCAACAATGATATCATTATCAGGAAATGTGAACTACCGTGAGCATAGTAGGAGCATATACTTTATTGGAAGTTGAAACTCTGATTCCCCATCTCAAATCTTATTTTTCTCTCATTTCTTTTTAAGAAAATTAAGAGACAACTGTTGAAGAATATTATGTAAATTCAATGTTTGTATCAGCTTTCTTCTTCTTCTTCTTCCCCCTTCTCTTCTTCTTCTTTACAATTTTTATCCATCAATAGAACCAGTGATGTTTCTGCTATGGGTTTCCTTTGCAACTTCAAGGGGGCTTTGTTAATGGAATCTTCCCTAGCTCCTCACCCTGGAAAGCCAGGATGAACTGATCTTTGGAAAATGGTGTCAAGTCCTTTGGATTTTATTTCCTAAATGTCTCACAAGTCTGCCCACTTCTCTTCTTCTCCGCTGCTGCCAACCTAGTTCAAGGCACCATCCTTTCCCACCTGGTCTCCCTCCTGCTCTTACTTTCCTAGAGTCAGTTCTGCATTGTGCAGCCAGAAGGATTATTAAAAAGAGCCTTATTAAAGTATAATTGGCATACACAATAAACTGCATATATTTAAAGGGGTACAAATTGATAATTATTGACATATACATATACTCATGAAGCCATCATCCCAAAAGTTTCTTTTGTGCCACTTTGTACTTCTCTCTACCTCTCCCACACTCCCCCTCTAGATACCAATGATCTGCTTTCTGTCAGTATAGATTGGTTTTCATTTTCCAGAATTTTATATTAATGGAATCATATAGTATATACTCATTTTCTTGGTCTTGCATCTTTCACTGAGCATAATGCCCTTGATATCCATGTAAGCTGTTATGTGTATCTCTAGTTCATTCTTCTTTATTACTAAGCGGTATTCTATTCCATTGCTGTACCACAGTTTGTTTATCCATTTACTTGTTGATAGACATTTGGATTCTTTCCAATTTGGGGCTATTACAAATAAAGCTGCCATGAACATTCATACAAATGTTTTCGTATAGAATTATGCTTTCATTTCTCTTGTGTAAATAGTAGTGGAATGGGTGGGTCACAGGCTAGGTATATGTTTACCTTTTGTGAGAAACTGCCAAACTGTCTTTCTAAGTGGTTGTACCATTTTACATTTCCACCAGCATATAAGAATTCCGGTTCCCTCACCATCCTCACCAACACTTGGTATAGTCAATCTTTTTAATTTTAGAATTGTAATTAGAGGCATAAGTTTTTCCCATTTAATTTGCATTTCTCCAGTGAATAATGATGTAGAGCATTTTTCATGTGGTTATTTTCCATTTGTATACTTTCTTTGAAGAAGATTCTGCTCGGTTTTTCTTTTTACCTATTTTTTAAATTGGTCTGTTTGTATTTTATTATGGAGGTTTTCTATATTCTAGACATGAATACTTTATCAAAAATATGATTTAACAATTTGCTCTGTCTTTAGGTTGTTTTCATTGTCTTACCAGTGTCTTTTGAAGAGAAAACATTTTTAATTCTGATGAAGTCCAATTTTTCAATTTGTTCACTTCTTTTTAGGGTCAGATCTAAGAAATCATTTTCCAACCCAAGATCACAAAGATTCCCACCTGTGTTTTCTTCTAGAAGTTGTATAGTTTTCAGTTTTACATTTAGACCCATGATCCATTTTGAGTTAATTTTTGCACATAGACATGCAGTTTTGTATATAGATGTCCTATTGTTTCAGCACCATTTGTTGAAAAGACTATCCTTTCTCCACTTAGT